TAAATCTTCCAAAACCTTGAGTGAAAATAATATGTTTCTCGATTTTTTACCACTGAAAAAAATTGACAACTGAGCAATAGCTCCAATTAGTTCTTCTGTACTTGAAAATCTACTCCGCTAAACATATTAGCTGAAGCTGTTAAAAAGTTCAAACTATATGGAATTCATCAGCTTTGTTTAGCACCTGACCTTCATATCCGGCTCAAGGAAATTGGCGTCGGAATGTGCTGGCAGCTGCGGAGCCGGCAGTACTCGTTTTCGTTCACCTGCGATGTTGCTTCGATAGTCGGTGATGGGATGGGGGTTTGAAGCTGAAAAGTAAGAATTATTTTTTCCCATGTCAATTTTACCATGTCTCCAAATGATACAGCCACCCCGTGTTTTTCGTTGATTCTTGCTTGATGAAACTAAATGGCAGTCATCAATTTTTCTTTTCTAGGTTATCACGAAAGGAAAGCAATTGTTGGATCTCGAAAAAGGGCAAATGTCGCAAAAAAAGAGAAAGCGCCAGTGGTCACATTGCGCGGGAAGTTAGTCGAAGCTACAAAATGATAAACAATTTCTTCTTGCATGCCGTAGGAAATAAAGCTGAAAAGGGCTCTGAAAGCTCCTCTTTGCTTTTTGATCAAGATTAATGCGGAATTATGAAAATAACATCCAATTTCATCAAGCCGTGCTCGTAATTAGAGTCTTAATCTCCTACTGCATAGTGCTTGGTAAGTAGTGAAGAACTTCCAAGTTCGCTCTCAAGCGGAAAGTGAAAATGGCAGTTTTTTGGAAAGAAACCGTGGCGAAAACCGAGACATTTTTGGGAGGAAAGAGTAGCCAAGCCAACCGGGGTAGATCCGCTTTTTGCCTGTTATATTTTACTTCCTATCTGCTTTTCCTTTGAGTTTTTCCTTGGTAGTGAAACCTTTTCTTCAAGATGGATCCATATGAAGCGAAAAGCACTAAAAGAATTGCAGACGGAAAAGAAGACAGAACAGACCAAAAGCGGATGCTCCTCAGTTGGTTTGACTGGCTGTATTATTAGGGCGGAAGTGGTGTAGTGGCAAGTGGCACGCTTACCACGCGAGCGGTCCGGGGATCAAATCCTGGGTCGTGAGTCGCCCGGGCCAACCAAGCCTTCCATCCCTCCGGGGTCGGTTAATTGGTACCAGACTTGTCTGGGAGGATAAAAACACTGACTTGTACATCGGCTGGCCCCGCAAGTCATTGTATAGGCCACATCGCATTCAAACGCCACTACGAATGTACAAATGGAAGTAGAATGCGTGCCGCATCCCAAAAGGGATTGATCAACGGCAAATGCTTTATCCTTTATCCTTTATACCGTGCGTATCCACAACTGTTACGGACCGGGTGGTGTGTGTCAGCAAATTCAGAAGAGACAGTAGCGGAGCTTAAATGATTCGGTAGTTCTGACAGAAGAGGCCGACCTCCTCTATGTCCGATACTTCCATTATGTTGGTGTTTTTTTCCCGAGGTTGGATGACCCTATCTTGTGGCGAATATTCATAAAATATTGAAGACTCTCAGCTTAACAACTTTTCTTGAGCTCCGTCGTGTAGCCCTGTCCTCTTGCCAGCAAAGAGTTACCCAGTTTCTAGCGTTTGGGAAGAAATTTGACGAGTGGGTATCCTTTTACCCTCGAATACACTCAAGACCTGGTCAAACATCAAGCAACGCCCAATCATTCCTGGGCCGTTGAATATTGTTTTCATAATCTAAGGAAAACTCGTAAGGCTTAAGAAAATGTAGCATTTAACTCACTGATTCCATTCATAATCGGCGGCATTGTCGATCTGAGAGATGGCATGTTCAAAAGCCCTTCACGCTCTTCCACACTCATTTTACAATCGTGCGAACGCAAAAAGCTGTGCATTTGCTCCATCTAAACAAAACAGATCTTTACAATGATTCTGTACCACAGCCCTTTTGAATTATCAAAATTTTTGAATTTTCACCCTTCAAATAAATCAAAAACGCTCTATAATGATATCAAATGCGGAAGAGACCTTCCGCCATCAGGGCAGATAAATGAAAGAACTCTTAATACTTGAGGAAACCAAATAGTTCAATTAATATACTATTCGGGTTTTTGAAAGTTTCGGCTTTTAACGCTACTATTTTTGAACGCCTAATTTTTCGCTCACGTAACTGCACGGCGTCAAAACACGAAGATCCCTGCTTCTGTATTTTTTTTCCTTTTTGTTTTATGGCACTTCTTTACCGTCAAAAATCTTCTCAGTTTCGCAGGGTACGATGTGTATCACAAGACAACTCATAATCTTAAGTCAGCCGTACGCAACAACGTAATAAAAACGGGATTTTTCTCTCCCGTTCTTCCACGGTGTGAGCATCCACCAAAAGAACACTTAGAAATTGGTCAAAAATATTTCCCTTCCCGAAATACTGAAAGCTAACGAACCTGCGATTTCATGGCACGAATTTCCAATTCCTTCTTCTCATTCTCGGCTTTGAACTTGTCAACTTGCTATAACAGAAGAAACATCGAATTACCGTGACTCTGCAAATTCCGGAGTCAGTGACTATCGAAGTTGCACACCGGGCCACCTGTTGCTACCTCTTGAAGGTTCGTCATCAGGTCGAGACGTCGTTGACGGCATCGCGCTGCAGCCTCCTTATTTCTCTGGCGTCTCTTGATCCTCTTATCCAACTCATCTTGATCCTCAATCTCCTGAAAAAGAAAATGAAATCATCGCCGTTTGGTACAACCAATTGTTTGCCATTCGCTACAGTAATACCGCCGCCGCTCGCCGCTTACGCGCAGCGAATCTTACGGGGGTAGGCGAGAGGCTGGAACGATAAACATACAGAACTCGGCAAACTAACTAATATTTTGCACGCAATGGATTCTGTTCGACGAACAAGGAGAGAACTAAGGTGTTCTTGTGTGAGGACCCAAAATATGAACACATGGACATTCCTAATCACGCTAACGCTCAATATAACTGCATAACGGGAACCTTGTTGCGCAATACTCGGCGAGTCCCAAACCGCTGATTTTCCGAGTTCTGCTACGCATCATACTGACCGGGAAAAAGACAACGCCTAGGGTGTACAGCCCACCCTTTGCTCGCACATGACTTTTTTGCATACCAAGAAGGGACAAAAAACCCAGACCTGGTATTTATGATTTTTGACAAAGGGTGAACTCCCTGCATTGCTGGATAACATTCGGAGAATTTGGAATCCAGCAATAAGAGAGAAAATTCTAGCATGAATCATTTTTAATAAATATAGGGATGTTCACCCTCAAATTGATGATTTTGGTACGCCCTTTTCCCTTAAAGACGATTTACGATGGAAAAGCAACCCATTCCAAATTGAGGTAGAGATGGTGAGTAGTACCAGAAAGAAAGCGAAACCACACGAAAAACGGCCCAGAACCGGAGAAATGGGACCCCTTCCTTGTCCGTTGATTTGAGCATTGATGGGACTCTCATCGCTTTGCCCTCTTCAACCCTACGCTCTCTCAGCTATCTAATCACTCGCCACCTATTGTACTACGGCGAGTGATCAGACGATCGGTGGGCGGAGATCGCCGAACTCGCCAACTTTGAGCCATGCTAGATCTCAGAGGTCAAATCTTTCGATGCCGATTGCGTGTCTGTCCGCACCCTCAAGAGATTCACCGCTCTCCCCACTAGGCGATTTCTCCCTTCTTCGACCTTCGTTCTTTCCGTGCAATCCTCCTTTAAGCACTAAAGGCATCCTTCCTTCCTTCATTACATCCCGATCGAAAAGTTTTGGAGATGTTAGGTCGGGTGCATAGGGGTAAAATTGTTAGTGAGTATCATAGGGAACAGACGCAAAAGTGGGGTCCTATGAACTTTCTAACATGGGAGGGGGCGATTTGCTCCTACCCGTTACAGATAGGCAAGATATTCTCGAAATGGCCCTCCACGTTATCGTGGCAACTTTGTCGAGTCCTTCCGTAGAGACTCACAATCTGCTTTTTTTTACGACTTTTTCCTTACTGTCACACCATTTAGGCTGAGCATTCCGTCTCCCTCAAAATACCGAAAGAGAGGTAGGATGAAATATGCCAGATCTCAGTACGCGCTTAACCTTTTACCTGCTAGTCCAGCAAGAGCGCAGGATATTTTTTCGCCTCATCACCTTGAATTAGGAGAAAAACCTTTCGAGAAATGACTGCCAACAAATAGGAAACTACTTCGTTGCGTGAATCTTTTATGTCGAAAAATTCTGGCGAAAATCCCTAAGGGTAATTGTCCGTGGCGCTTATAATCCTACCTCAGAAGAATCGAAAAGGAGGGGGGGAGCGTACCAACCTATGCTTCCGATCTACACATGGTTAACTTTTAACCGAATTTCAGAAAAAAAGTGCCTCGATTTGGCCTACCGCCAGCTGTACGTGCTCATTTGAAAAACTGTTCGTGTTTTGGTATAAAAAATTGCGCAAAAGTCATATAACGGTCGTATATTTTGGAAAAAAAAAAGCAAAGCACGAAACTTGATGGCGTCCGCTGATCTGCAACTTGATTACTAAGTCATGCCACAACAATACTGCGAAATAACCTTCGCCAGGTTCTACGCCACTACAACTTGTCCCTTGCAGGTTCATTCGGCAATTCTACTTTCCCATATGTTGTAATCACTTTTCATTGAATGCTCGTCCTCTATACATCAGGGTGCAATACTCCGAGTTTCCATGGATTTGAACGCCTTCCTTGTAAGTTGGAAACTATTACGAAAAAAAGATCATTCTGGTGATGGATATCCAAATTTGATCGCAAAACGATTTTCTCGATTCCTATGCGTATCGTGGACGGACCATCACGGCCATGAGTCAGCGCGAGAAAAACCAGTTTTTAAACGACAGAACAACATGAGAAGATCAAAGACAGTGAACGTGATGGCCATTTCCCGTTTCCTAATGAGAAGATCAAGACAGTGAACGTGATGACCAATTCCCGTTCCTAGGAAACCCTTCATAACAGCAAATATTTCATTTTCATGAACGACGAACTCAAGCTAATACTGCCAAATTGAAGAGTTTTAATCACCAGCGCCCTGTTCTTCACTCCGAGTATTACTGCACAGTGAAGCAAGTGAAGCTGCTCCTGTGGATCAGACCCCATAGAAATTTCACCACTGGCAGAATCTGAGCATTCTTCAAGTCCTCGGGCACTTGACTTAATCACTACTGTACGCTAACGCGGGCTCAGATAATCCCTTTGCCTCGAGTGTACGGGTAAATACATTTCTGTGCGCCGGAATTCTTGACATCCCAAGAAATGATGGCTGCTTTTGTTCGCTTAGAAGAGCTCACCATGTTTGGACGTGTTCTGAAGAAGCCTAACACTTCATCAGTGATATAGCGCACATTGCATTTCCACCGCCTTAACTGCTAGTATCTCATGTTACTACGCGTACCATTTGTACCTTTTCATCTTCACCCCTCCCCACAAAGAATTCAGAGGTGCCAGGATTGCGTCCAACACCTACTCCACATGTCCTAGGATTTGCGGGTTACCGAAGGCATCCAAATTACCCAGTTGGCCCTCCTGTCCCCTCCATAAGTATAAGCTCAGTTCTCAATCAGCTACGAAGATTGGTTGAAAAATGTAGGTTTGGTCTTTCTCAGACGACCTCACAGATGAGGTACAATCGGTATTATTACCTGGATATCTTTGCTGCACTGGTGTGCAAAATATAAAGACGAGATAGATGACGTTACGTAAGTCATTAATACCCCCTCCCCCCAAGTATCCAGAGGTGCCAAGAACGCTATAGCTTGATAGCTTTGTGGACCGTTTAACGGTTCCTGTCAATTGCTTTCTTACTGCACTGTAGCAGCTCTTTTATGTGTGGTTAGGTTCCATAGAGTTATGTTACTCGCCAGTAACACGTCATGGAAAAGCTACGTTCGTCCCTAAGTTTTGCACATCAGCGTATTAAACTGTGAAGCGAAGACGAACATGCAATGACACAGCATGGCTACACAGTCCTGAGATAAATATCTCTGAAATCCGGAGGAAGATAAACCGAATTTCAGCACCTCTATTAACCACGTTATTCTGAACCCTTCCAATAACATCGCGATTCTGATTGACAGAGTACGCGTGGCGCATCTCAGAATAACTGATCGACGCAAAGGAATTTGTTCATTTTTGTAATAGTGAAGATCC